CCTAAAATTTATATTGGATAGGTAGATCCTTCAAAAAACGCATTAACGAACATAAAAAAGCGGTTAAAAACAATAGTCCAGATTCTGATTATGCTACACACAGAAAAACAAATTTTTGACGACAATTTTGTTATTTTACGTGGAACCACAAAAAGTAGAAAATTAAATTTATTGGATGCCATGGAGATTAACAAAATGAGAACAAATGAAAAACGATCAATTAGATTTAAATACCTCTCCATTATTAAACTTAAATTCTCCCAACAACATTAATTCGGTTTTATTGTCATTTTTCGGTATATATAGTAGCAGGTAGTTTGTAAATATTACATTTGATAAAGACACGGTGTTGTCGAAACATTTGTCATGTGTATATATGTAATTTCGTGAAAATCTCTACCTGAAATACCTCTAGATACATAGTACATGTGTACTTCGGTAAAATATATAAAAAGTGGTATTGCAGATATTAAAAAAATATATTTTCTCTTTAAGTTAAGACATTTAGGACGTATGTTTTCATTTAAAAACAGACCCAGAAATAGTTTCCTCAAGTATTGATATTAAATTAGAAAACACCAGGTATATTACCGTCCCGTTCCTACCATAAAATCAAAATTAAAAAGTAAGTCCCAAAAATAAATATTTTTTTAAATATCCACAAATGTTACGAAAAATAATTCCAGAAAAAAAAAACGGTAAAAAAAGACTGTTTTTGATCCTATAATATGGAACGACGTAAAAAACAAATTATTCCAAACAATTCATTTGAGAGCGTTATTATTAATTTCAAAATTTTATAGTTTTTTAACACTTAGTGCCGCTAATGCGTGATAGTGCAAAAATTGAAGTTGTTTTCACCGGTGAAAAATAAAAGCTAAATTTTTGAGTTTCATTTTTTTTTTCGTTTAGCTTCGTTTTTATAATTTTTACTTAATAATACAATATAATTATTATACAGGGTGTTCACAAAGAACTATATTTACAAAGAGTTTTTAATTAAATTAAATCAACGGTTTAATAAGACTACACAAAATGTAGAAACATTTTGAAATAATTATGTTTAAGTAAAAAAATAATAATACAGGGTGTCCTAAAAGTAACAATTTAACAAAAAAAAGGATTTATTCAATATAGATTAAAACAAAATATTGTAATCGGATTTTTTAAAATATTTAAGTTTATTCGATTGAAAGGAACGAAAAGTTAAGCACTTTGCTCTGTTTTTGTTAAAATCTTTGCATTATTCATAGCTCTAAAAAAGTTAAACCAATGCTTTGCGATAAGCGTGTTCGTTTAAGGTTTTGATTTATAGTTAGTCTTAATGTCACAAAAACAATAGACAACCCACTATTGAAATCAAACTTCAGTTACGCTATCGCACTATAAAAAAAAGGAAAACCAATTTATGTATTAATAGGTCAAAAGTTATAACTAAAAACATTTTTCTCCTTTTTTTTTGGCCACCTGGCAAGTTTTTTAAAAAATATTTTTTTTAATGGAGCAGGTGGGGGTAAGATTGAGTCTTACATATAGTATCAACAGCATCCCTAGATTATAATGTAATTATAACATATTGCCTAAAAAATAACAAACTTTTTTGGGTAATTTTTCTAATATGACTCAAAGCAATGTAGAATTGTTTAAGGATGATTGCCTTTTAGTACCTTTGCTCGCTTCCTGCATTTTGATTTTTGTCAAAAGCTAATTTCTTAAAAATAAAACCCTCAACTTTTCACACGGAAAGCTGTATAAATAAAACATTCTCAAAATGACACTGACAGCAAACGTTACGAAATTCTTGTTGACGTTTCCATGGTAACAAGACCACTTAGATCGCTTGCTTTGTGAAGGTTCATGGCTTACTTAATTACTAGGTGACAAGGAAAGCGTGCGCCATCTTGCACCTAGTTTTTTCTTTTATTAAATTTTCCATTATTACTATTACGATAGAACACTTTCGTTGTTGATAATTCGGTATTGGAACAATTTTATTTTGGAGATATACATTCAATCGCGAAATTCCAGTAACGGTTTTTTTTTTTAATGTGTCACGTGACGTTCACGCACCGATCCCGAGGAACGGAAACGCGAATAACTAATCGAGGAAAAGTATACGGGATTATGAAAATTTAACGCTGCAATGTGACACTCGTAAAATTCAATCTCGCTCGAGTACACGTGAATGAAATAAAAGCGGAACCCAGACAAAAGTGCTACCCCCCACCACCACACGATTGTCTTTTAGTTGAATATCATTTCATACCATTATCTATATAGAGCTTTCGCGAATATACGGTTTTAACTTGAACAATTCAATTTAATCACTTTTGGCTACCCCACTTTCCGTATGGATGTTCATCACTTTAATCTAGGAAAAAATCAAAACGACATCGAACAGGGATGCTTCAAAGATAATTTTCTTATAGCATTGCACGTACAAGAAATAATTTAAGCCTTTCCGATTTGATAATATCAACCGTTTGTTTGCTTCTTAGCGTGATTTGTGATATTTGTCTTTGTCACTAAATAGTGTGGAGTCAGTAATCACTTCCTCGACTTGTCTTTGATATAACTCGGTAGGATCGCGTTTGATACATTGGAAAAGTTCTGGTTTAAGAAAATTGTTGGTTTTTGAAATATATTCTGGGAGATCGATAGCTATGACTATCTTCCCTTTATCTGCACGTGTAAATATTATATTATTTTCGGAAGCTTTGTTTCTGATAGTTTTTACTAGTGTAGGCTTAATGTATTGCTTAACGATCATAAAGATACATGTTGAAATGTTTTCATCGAGTGAAATAAAAATAAGTAATTTTCTTCAGATCTGTGTGTTTATAAATAAACTTGAGATTTTGAATTTAGTAGCATTTGAATCGGAAAATTCGAAACAATGAAGGGGACTTCGCGAACACACGGGCGTAGCAAGGTCGTGTTAACGAGCTAGAAACAGAAATATGCGCGACACACACCGTTAACGGCACATATCTAAACCGTTCAGTCACACCCGCCGTAATTTAAGCAGTTGACTGGCTGAGCTTGAAACTTAAAGGAGAAACGTCGAAAATCTTTTTTTTCTACTGAGTAAAATCACGTCAAGTGAACCCCCCATTTACCCCCATTAATCTATATATTTTGATTTCTGATTTTAATAACATTTTTTTATATAATGAAAATCAGCATCTCGAACCGCATTGAAGGTTTTAACAGTGATAATTTAAAATAATAATACAAAATATTATTATAAAATTAATTTTATTATTATTTATATTATTTTACCGAGACCCGTCCTGTGCAAAAGTGTTTTTTTTACTTAGGAACTTAAAAATATTATAGATCTGGCAAAATCAAATACAAAGGCCATAGAACGAAAAAAGAATTGTGCACGCTCCTCTGCAAGAAAAAGTTAAAAATAAAAAAAAGAAACGACAAATATGAAAACCAAGACCTGTTTTTTCTTTTATTTGGAGACGAATAAAAAATAAGTGTTTTTTTTTACTTAAGAACTCAATAATATTATGGACCTGGCAAAAATCAAATGCAAAGGCCATAGAACGAAAAAAGGACTGTCCACGCTCCTCTGCAAGAAAAAGTTAAAATTTAAAAAAAGAAACGAAAAATGTGAAAACCAATCCCCGTCCTGTGCAAATGTTATTGAAACCTTTTTTTTTAATTAGGTTTTATCAGTGATAATTTAAAATAATAATACAAGATATTATTATAAAATAAATTTTATTATTATTTTATTTTTTTTAACAATATTAACTGAGTAGAACAAACAAGCTTAAATAATTTGACATTAAGTTTATTTATGTGTACGAAGAGGTCTGTGAAAAAGAAATCAGAAGGCCACGTTTTGTTTTCTAAGACATCAAATTGATTACGAATGCCTTTATCAAGAAGAACATTCACAATATCGTCTTTTAAATCCCAAATTCTTTCAAATAATCTTCCAGCACTTAACCAACGAACTTTTGAATACTGCAGGATACCGGAATGATCAGCATGTACGGACTCCAAAAACTATTGAAACTGGCGATGTAATAATACTCAATATTTACTAGTTTTACAACAATATTAAGTATATGGTCAATATCTAAAGCCGATTTACAGAAAGCATCCTGATGTATGAAGCAATGCAAAAAAAACAACATCATTTTCCGAATACTTGGAATTAAATTTCCCAACAAATGTTTCATTGATTCTAATTATATTAGGAGCACCATATGTAGTTACATTACGTAACTTATCAATAGGTAAACGAAGTTTATCGATGCGATATCTGTACTTTCATCCAAGGCAATTGAATAAAAAATAAATTTTTGAGTTTTTGTAGTCAGTTGTGAAATTAGATTTTTCCGGATCTTTCGGGAAAACAGAACAACGGGTCGAAAATGCGAGAGTGTCTGGAAGTTTCGAGGGAAAAGGAGTCGAGGGAAGTCGCGTTCAAACATTCTCACCTTTCAGTAGTTTCCCGATCACTGCACTATACGGTAACGACAATATAATAGTTTGACTATTAATTAAGAGAGAATATTAAATCGCCCTATCTATCTTTTTTTTTTTTTCAACAAATTTATTAATTTTCGGAAAGAACTACAAAAAAAATTCTGGCAAGACGCTCAATATCTCGCTCTCTTTCAAAAATCAAAAACTGTGCAGCATTTTTGAAAAAAAAAATATTTGTGCACCTTTTCATAAAAATATTTAATTTTATCCAATTTTAATGTTTAAAACGTACCACATACATAAAAAAAATAACATTTTCCAAAAAACGATCGGATAAACAAAAATCAATCTCCTAATTGGTTGTTTTTTTATCAAAAATCCAAATGCGTGAAATGATATTTTCATTTTCCACCAGAGACGGGCGCACAAATTCGGTAACCTTAACGAATAAAGAACTCCGATACCGAAAACGCGCTTAAAACGCCACCCGGCGCCCCCCGAAACCGCCGCGAAACGAATAGCAAGTCGGAAAGTAAATTACTACTCACTTTGCGGCGGGTTTTTCGCTCTCAAAAGACGAGGGGCTTATCCGGATGGATCCCCCGATAATAGAGCTCTTCCTTGCCGGCTCGTCCACGCTACGGACCCACCGTTTGCTGTCGATGACGCCCGAAGGGGGCGGACGTCCGCCCACATTCGCGGAAGCGTGGTGGTCCATGGCGCTGTCCACGCTCCTCTGAAAGAAAGAGTTAAAAATAAAAAAAGAAACGACAAATATGAAAACCGAGACCTTGAAAACAGCTGGACGCACTCTTCTGCAGGAAAGAATTAAAAATAAAAAAAAAAGAAAGGAAAAATATGAAAACCGAGGCCCGACCTGTGCAAATGGTATAGAAACCTGTTTTCTTTTACAAATAATTGTTTTTTTTTTACTTAAGAACTTAAAAATCTTATACATTTGGAAAAATCAAGTACAAATTCGAAAAAAAAGAACTGTCCACGCTATTCTGAAAGAAAGAGTTCAAAATAAAAAAAAATAAACGACAAATATGAAAACCAAGACCTATCTTGTGCAAATGGTACAGAAATCTGTTTTTTTTTTAATTTCGAGACGTATAAAAAATAAGTGCTTTTATTTTCCTTCAAAACGTAAAAATATTATGAATTTGAAAAATCAAATGCAAAGGAAATAGAACGAAAAAAGAGCTGTTCACGCTCCTCTGCAAGAAAGAGTTAAAAACAAAAAAATCAAAGGCAAAATGCGAAAGCCAAGGCGCGTCCTGTGCAAATGGTATAGAAATCTGTTTTTTTTTTTTTACTTGGAAATGAATAAAAAATAAGTGTTTTTTTTTACTTAGGAACTTAAAAATATTATAAAAAAGAAACGATAAATATGAAAACCAAGACCTATCCTTTGCAAATGGTATAGAAACCTGTTTTTTTTTATTTGAAAACGTATAAAAAATAAGTGTTTTTTTTACTTTAAAACGTAAAAATATTATGGATTTGAAAAATCAAACACAAAAGACATAGAACGAAAAAAGAGCTGTTCACGCTTCTTTGCAAGAAAGAGATAAAAATAAAAAGAGAAAGGAAAAATACGAAACCCAAGGCCCGTCCTGTGCAAATTGTGTAGAAATCTGTTTTTTTTTTATTTGGAGACGGATAAAAAATAAGTACGTAAAATACAAAGGTCATAGAACAAAAAAAGGAGCTGGCACGCTCCTCTGCAAGAAACAGTTAAATATTTAAAAAAAGCAAAATACGAAACCCAAAGCCCATCCTGTGCAAATGGTATAAAAATGTCTATTTTCTGTTATTGGGAACGAAAAAAAAAAATTGAAAAAGGAAAGCAAAAAAATGAAAACCAATATCCATCCCGTGCAAATGGTACAGAAATCTGTTTGTTTTTTACTTGGAAACGAATAAAAAATGTATTTTTTTTTCTTAAGAACTTAAAAATATTATGGATCTGGCCAAATCAAATACAAAGGCCATACATCGAAGAAACGACTGTCGACGCTCCTCTGCAAGGAAGAGTTAAAAAATTAAAAAAAGAAATAAAAAATATGAAAACCAAGCCCCATCCTGTGCAAATGCTCTAGAAACCTGTTTTTTTACTTGCAAACAATAGGTGCTTTTTTACTTAGGAACGTAAAAATATTATGGATTTAGCAAAATCTAATACAAAGGCTATACAACGAAAAAAGAGCTCTCCACGCTCCTCTAAAAGAAAGAGTTATAAAAAAACTAAAATTATGAAAACCAAGGCCCATCCTGTGCAAATTGTATAGGCATCTATTTTTTTTTTTGCTTAGAAACGAATAAAAAAATTGGTGTTCTTTTTATTTTATTTATTTGTTAATTTGACAAAATCAAATATAAAGTGTTAACATCCGAAATCTTACTTAAAATATAGAAATCTTTTTTTTTTACTTGGAAAATAAAAAACTTAGTTTTTTTCAATCTTTAAAAAGTTAGTCCAATAGAAAGCCATTATGTAAATAAAAAAAATTAAAAAGTTACTTCGTAAAGTATAAAAATAAATAATATTTTATATTTAGTGTCGTCTTAATAAATTCTAATAATCTTTTTAATTTCACGTACTGTCTCTCTTGTGTCTATAGACATCAACGGTGGTCCGAAATCTAATATTGCAAATTTAGATTCTATTATTAATATTATTATTGTTATTTTCGTAATAAAAAATAGCTAACTTGGTTCTATATTTGCGGGATTGGAAAACCTCGTCATTGTCGAATGGGGGGGTGGGGACTTATATTTTCCTGGAACGGGAAACAGGAGAGGCTATTAACCGGCGGGCCAATACTTGTAAATCAGCCAATCGGCAGTAAAAGCAATTATTATTGAAATCCTCTGGGCTATCAATTTGTTTTAGTACCCCCGGAGATGGTCCGGTTTTATTTTTCCAGCCGTTCGCTTTCATCAACATGGCGGCCGTTCGGTTCAACGATGGGCAGGGCCCGGCCCTGTCCGCGTTCCACGAAACGGAGCGCGATAACGGAACGCGACTGGAATATTCGCGACAAGGCGCTCTTTGCTATTTTTTTGTGTGTGTTTTTCTTTTATTCATTTCATTCTGGCTGGGACGGCACTGCAACCGTACAATGTTCAGGGTTGGTTCCGGTAAAGCAATGTAAAGGTTGTCTAATAGTCAGCACAATCGTTCAACAAAATGAATTTATTTATGACAGCGCGCCGGACACGATTTCATAAATTTATTTGTTACGGTTGATTTTTAATCCATTTTTTAATTAAAAGCGCTTAAAATTTTCATTATGAAAACAAATGTCGTTAAAATCAAAATTTTAAAAAATCGTTGATTATCATAAGTACTTATACTTATAAAAAAATATATATAGATTAAATTTTTATGATCAAGTGGTAAATGGGGGGGTCCACTTGACGTGATCTTACTCAATAATAAATAGCCTTTATTAAAATACAACAAAAATAATATACCACAATGAAGTGGGACAGATACAATGTAGTAAAATATTCAGAATTTAACAAAAAAAAAACTAACACATATAATTAAGTCCCTTAGGTCCACCCAAGATTCGCAATTTGACAATTTTAAACAAATCAAAGGGGGATAAAAAACACACTGGAAAAAAGCAAGATCAATATTCAAAAACGACTAAAAGAAAAGCAATAAGCAAAAAAAAAACAAATATACAAAAAAAAAACAGTTCAGTCTCTCCTTAATCTCACCAGCTCTTATAATTTCTTTTTAAATGTAGAAGTAGATAAACAAGATTGCTTTCGAAAAATCGTCGGTGTAATTTGATTGTGAATACACCCTGTATAAAGTGTCGTTCACATCTTCAAAGTTACGGCACACTTCGGGAAATATAAGCGAAAAAATTCGTGAATGGCATGATGAATGGCTTCGGAGGAAAAGATGTTTTTCTAGATGCAAAAATAACCACAAAAAGAAATTCAAAAATAAAAAAAAATACTTCGCGTTATTTTATTGCTCCAAATTAAATGAGTCTAAATGCGGGTCCAGACTTCTACTTCTGTCGCAAGTCTGAAGTCGGTAGCTGCGAATTTGGAGTACTTATTATGTTTTTTAATATTGCAAGGAATATCGCGAACACCCTGTACAATACTTAAAAACCGTAAATACTATATCGGCTATATCGTCATGTAAAAGAAACTGACATCTAAAACACAGATTTGAAATTATTGCCAATTTTCAATAATAGGGGAACCCATTTTTCAGTTTTTTTGAATTTGCGGCGCACCCTGTATATTTTTGAAAAATTGTTAAGATTAAAAGTTTATGGAGTCGTTTCCTCTGCGTCTTTGGTTGAAGAATTTTTTCGTTCTTGTAAACGGTTTTTGAAAAATGTAGACCATGGCTTAAGAGATTTTTTATTTTTTTAAAATACTTCCCGACCCCCCCCCCCATTTTCAACAGGGACCGTCACTGGGCAAAGCTGCATATATGTGCCAAATATGAAGTCGATTGCTTCAAATTTCGGACACTTATCGTGTTTCATAGCAAGGTCCAAAAAACATTCGAAAATTGCGAAAAAACGATGAGAACGGAGAACGGACAAACAGACAAAAAAATTTTTTTTTTCGACGGAGATCTTTTCTGTACCAACGGCGATCCCGTAGGACTTGCCGTTACCCAGATATAAAATTTTTATAGGAGCGCAGATACTTTCGAAAAATTCGATCGATTTTCGAAAGTAACAAGTAATATCTTAATAGCGTTATATGTGAAAGAGCTCTGAAACCCAAGCATACAATGCTTGGGAACATAGAACAGGTTACGGTAACTAGTCGCCCTGTTATGTATATCACTACCCCTAACCAGCTTATCATAAATATACCGGGACTTTTCGTACCTAACAATTTTATACACCAAAGATAGATAGATGCACAAAATACCTTTCAGACAGATTTAATCCCTGAGAATCCTGTGCCGTAAGCCGTAAGCTATATTGGTCTTTCCGTCTTAGAGTCGGCCAACAGAGAGAGTATAAGAGAGTCACACAATTTAAGTCTAATCTCAGTAGATAAGTAGTCTTCATACATGTCAAGTACTTTCAGTTTCAAGACTCTTAAGTTTTTACACTTACCGACAAATTCAAGCGGAGTACCATTCAAAGAAAGTTTCGGATCAGTATACTGTATAATTTCCTCAACCTGCCTCTTGGAATCATTTAATTCCTGACCATGGGCTTTGGAGATTCTAGAAATCACTTCAAGTTCCTCATTTATGCCATTGAAAGACATCTTTGACAGAGAATGATAACCATATTTGCCTGCATTTCGGGGCGTAGAGAAGTCTTACTTTACTCCGGAATTACATTTTGTTATAATATATTTTATGTATTTCTTGTAACTGGTTAAAGTCTAAATAACTAAGACTAAGTCGTTTGCCATTTCCTTTAAATAATAATATATTTTCATTAACGCCCCTTAATTAATTACCGTTATCGGATCGTCAGACATCTATATGTAAAAAAGAACAAGCAATACCGTCTTAATTCATACAAACATTACATACAATACGTAGAGCCTGTTAGACAGCCATCACTTGTCATTTTAAAATATTTTTTAACGATATCATTCTGTCCATTCTATTTCTATAAAAGGCGAAGCACCGCTCCCTGAGCGGTCGGTCCAAAAGTGAAACCGTTGTGCGACGCGTTTAATCGTGATCAATTTCGTCAGTTTCACTTAATATTATCATCA